ATGGGAATGGGGATGGGAGCAGGAATGGAAATGGGGATAAGGATGGGGGAGATTGGGATGGGGGATCCAGGGGGGAGATGGGAATGGGGGATCTGGGGGGAGCTGGGGGAGTTTGGGATGGGGGATCAATGCCTGGAGCGGGGCCGGCACCGCCCGGATACTCCAGACCTCACGGTGAGGGAGTGGGAAGGGGAATGGGGGAGATTGGGATGGGGGATGCAGGGGGGGCTCGTCCCAGGATATCCATGGGGAGCTTGTCCCAGGATATCCATGGGGAGCTTGTCCTGGCATATCCATGGGCAGCTCATCCCATTCCATCGTGGGGGATCCATGGGGACCTCGTCCTGTTCCATCCCAGAATATCCATGGGAATGGACCCCAAAGCTTATCCCAATCCCGTTCCATCCCGGGTCTCCTCCTCCTTTTCATCCTCACTGGACCAACATTCCCACTGGGAATCTCCCCCGGGAATCTTTCCCACTGGGAATCTCCCTCGGGAATCAGCTTCCTCATGAAATTTTCCTCTTTTTTTTTTTTTTTGTGTTTCCCTTTTTGTGCCGGATCCGTTGGGAATTCCCAGGAATGGGAGGGCCCAACATGCCCCCGCCCGGACCCTCAGGAGTTCCCCCCGGAATGCCGGGACAACCCCCCGGGGGCCCCCCCAAACCCTGGCCGGAAGGTGAGACCCGAAATTCCGGGAATTCAGCAAGGGATGAGCTGGGGGGGGGGGGGGGGCAAAGGGGATTCCCGGGTTAAATCCCTGGAATCAGGGCCGCAATTCTGGGAAGGGCGGGTTGGACCTCGGTGTTGGAGATTTCCAAGGATCCACGTGCTCCTTCCCAGAATTGGGGTTGATTCACCAGCCAAAAAATTGGAGGTTTTTTGGAAATTGGGGTTGATTCACCAGCCAAAAAATTGGAGGGTTTTGAGGGGAATTGGGGTTGATTTCCCAGCCAAAAAATTGCAGTTTTTTGGGGAATTTGGGGTTGATTCACCAGCCAAAGAATTGGAGGTTTTTTTGGAAATTGGGGTTGATTTCCCAGCCAAAGAATTGGAGGTTTTTGGGAATTGGGTTTGATTTCCCAGCCAAAAAATTGGAGGTTTTTTTGGGAATTGGGTTTGATTTCCCAGCCAAAGAATTGGAGGTTTTTTGGGAATTTGGGGTTGGTTTCCAACCTGATAACTGAAAGTTTTTTGAGGGGAATTTCCAAGCAAATAATTGGAGTTTTGGCAGAATTGGGGATAAATTCCAGTCAAATAATTGGTGACTTTTGGGGATTGGGTGTTTATTTCCAGCCAAATAACTGGAGTTTTGGGAGTAAATTCCAGCCGAATAACTGGTGTTTTTTTAAGGATTTGGGGGTTAATTTCCAGCCAAACAACTGCAGTTTTAGGGGGGGGAATTTCCAGCTAAAAAACTGGGTTTTTTTAGGGATTTGGGGTTACTTTCCAGCCAAATAACTGGAGTTTTGGGTGTGAATTCCAGCCAGATAACTGGTGGTTTTTACAGATTTAGGGGTTAATTTCCCACTAGATAACTGGTGTTTTTTAGGGATTGGGGGTTAATTTCCCACCAGATAACTGATGTTTTTTAGGGATTTAGGGGTTACTTTCCAACCAGATAACTGGATTTTTAGGGGGGGGAATTTCCAGCCAAACAAGTGATGTTTTTTAGGGATTTGGGGTTAATTTCCAGCCAGATAACTGGAATTTTGGGTGTAAGTTCCTGCCATATAGCTGGTGGTTTTTTAGGGATTTGGGGTTAATTTCCAGCCAAATAACTGGATTTTTGGGGGGTGGGAATTTCCAGCCAAACAACTGATGTTTTTTAGGGGTTTGGGGTTAATTTCCAGCTAAATAAGTGATGTTTTTTAGGGATTTGGGTAAATTCTGGCCAGATAACTGGTCTTTTTTAGGGATTTGGTGTTTTTTAGGGATTTGGGGGGTTACTTTCCAGCCGGACAACCAGATTTTAGGGGACCGGGGGGGGCTGAATTCCCGCCCCGTTCCCCATCATTCCCGTAATTCGTTCCCGTTGTTCCCTCAGGGCCGCTGTCGGCGGCGGCTCCGGGCGGGGCCCCCCAGAAGCTGCTGCCGCCTCCCCCCGCGGGTCGCCCGTCCCCCGCCCCGCCCGCGGTGCCACCGGCGTCCCCAGGGCCCCCCCCCGCCCTCGCCGGGGCAACCGGCGCCGCCCGCCCTCCCCGTGCACCCCAAACAGAACCGAATCACCCCCATCCAGAAACCGCGCGGCCTCGACCCCGTCGAGATCCTGCAGGAGAGGGAGTACAGGTGGGA